CACCTGTGGCGCATCCTTCGACTTCCTCTCACCTCCCAAATTAACAGGCATAGGCAAGCACCAGATTATCTGAAAAGTCTAGACAAGAAGGCTTTGACGGAGGCTCTTGAAACCCATACCAAGAAGTTTATGGAGCGCTATGGTGACAAGATAGTTACCCTGGACGTATGTAACGAAGTATTTGAGGACTCTGGGGAATCTGGAGAGTTCCGAAAAGACAGCCTGTGGTACAAAGCCCTAGGAGAAGACTACATCGAGTTAGCTTTCCAATTTGCTCGAAAAGCTAATCCCAAGGTCAAGCTATATAGTAGGTCACATTCGTGTTTAGTGAAGATACCCACGATGAGATAATCCTAACTTTATAATCTACCTGAACAGTAAATGATTTCAGTGTTGAAGGTAAAAATAAGAAGTCCGATGCTTTATACAACTTGGCAAAGAAATTAAAGAGTAAGAAATTACTTGATGGGGTCGGATTCCAAGCTCATTTCATTGTCGGACAGGTTCCTAATGGTAAGCAGAAAACCAAGGCTTATGTTGAAAACTGTCTTGAAGTGAGTTGACCATTAAAACTACACGATTTGACAGACATGCAACAAAATCTCAAGAGATTTGGCGACTTGGGTAAGCACAGAGCTACCCTTCCGTACTCTTTTAGCCTTTGCTGATCGCCCTTCAACGTGATATCTATTATTTTTTTACCGGACATCTCATCCTTTGGTTTAAAGGTTTGGAAACAACTATTAGTGAACTCGATATCAGAATGAAGGTACCACCCTCAGAGGCAGATATGAAACAACAGGTGGAAGACTATGTCAAAGTAGTCAAAATCTGCAAAGCGCTCAAATCGTGTCCAGGGATAATTGTATGGGGTGTTGCCTACCCGGATTCATGGATCCCACAAGAATTCTCCGGTAAGTTTCTTTTCGGAGGGAGAGAACCAGTATTGGTTCTATCAAAACGCTTTCGATTTAATGTCGACACAAGTACCACAATAACTGACTTCATTTGATATGCTACTTTGTTTATATCTCCCATTGGGTGATCAGGATACGGAAACGCACTGTTGTTTGATAACGATTACAAGCCAACGAAAGCCTTCAAAGCTGTTCGACAAGAACTTGATTCGGGAAAGAACAGAGACGACACCCAAAAAGAAACCAAAGTTTAGAGGACTGACTCACTCTTGTATTTAAAGTTGATATGGAGAAAAACGTATCAAACTGACTCATTATGTAAGAATATATGTAGATGAAAATTGACATTCATCCAAGGCTGTAAATTCAACTTCCACGAGCTAGTTTGGTTCATTCAAATCAGTCCTCAAGTTTTTTGCAATGGAATCCAAAAGTTGACCTCACCGCGAGAACGTCTAAAAGACATCTGCTCTGTTCGACCAGATTTTCGAGGTTCAGTTAATCATGAATGACTGATGATAAATTCCCTGAGAAATTTTGGATAACTCCAATGGTATTTCAATAAACAGGTTTCCAGTGTGCAACTGCATGGATGTGATATGGACAATTACCCGTAGACATCGAGATATTGAAAAAGTACCATTTCCAATTGTTACGGCCCTGAACTTTTTTGCAGGAGTAGTAAGGTCTTCAAGCTGAACTTTTCATGACACTTTAAAGTCATTTTTGTGGCCGTGCGAGACGTGATGTTTCTAGGACATTGAACACTGTTGATTAAGCTAGTACCATGACCTCTACAATCATACCAGCGTGATGAAAGTTGTTATGAACTTGGTCGTGGTAGGCTTCCTTACCAAGAGATTCTCACTCGAACTTACGAGTAGCATACCGGCTCATTGGAAGAGGGGATGAGACACGAAGAAAAATGATTCAGTTGGTTGTGTGGGAAAAATTGTTATACACTCAAACCTCTCAAGGCTTATATCGACCATACCCATAGGGTTTTTACTCACCTGAACTGAGCAGCACAAAATTATACGAATTGTAGGAATCGTAGGAATAGAGGCAATTGGGTACATATTCATATACAGAATTGCAATACTTGAAAAGGACACATCCTACGTGAAGAAACATTCTTCACGACCAGTTCAGAGACTTATGGATTGTCCCCCGTTACTCACAGGTTTTTATTTCAGAATAAAGGATTATCATTAAATGCGAGCCTATGACAAGTAAGGGTACCAATACCTCACGCATCTTTGGTCTATAAGCTCTCAGAATGATGAACATACCAACTATTGCTTACACTAAGATTTCAAAAAGATCACTAATTGTTTGTTATTGAAAAAAATAAGAATAAAGGTACAACAGGCCACATAAATAAATAAGCATTACAAGCTTGCCGATCTCCTTAAATGTTTCAACAAAATTTAGGAAAAAGATGACAAAGATTTAAGGTCCATGAACTCAAAAAAAAGAAAAAAAAACTTAGTCCCAAAATGATAAGAAAGAGAGATATTTATCATGTAATGTTCCAGATCCATGATAGATGAAACCGAATGAAGAAAAAAACATCAAAGAGAAGAATAAATGAATCATGTTACATATAAGTTTTGATCTATAATTTGATATGGTAGCGTAAAAAAACTATATTCAAACAGTTCCACACAGGATCACAAAGATGATTATTAATATCCAAATTGAAATATATTCATTACATGATCATCGAGTTTGATTCCATTGTAATGGAGGTTCTAGGCAATACGCTTGTGGTTGGGTTTGATCTAAAATAAGCAAAATACCACATCAAGAAAACATCAAAAGAGGTTTAGAAATTATTTACGAGTGGTATGAATGTCTGATTCACGATTATAGTTACTCACGGATTCGAAAATTTTCAGCACCTGTACCACAATCTTGACCAAAGGATAACTTACCAATATCAAGCTCCATTCCCATGGTAGCTGGATTTGAACTTTGATTATCATGCGCTGGCCAATTCACGTTACGTGGTGTGAGTGTATTGTCTTGAGGAGCTGAGGTCAATTCAAGACTTCTATGTGTCGGTCGACTTCCGTAAAAGCTGGGGTCTCCCTGGAAGTATCCTGCGACATCGAGACTTTGTCGTTGGTTGGGCATTGTCGTGCTGAATGGATTTGATGTGCTGGGTTCTGAATGTACATTGGCCATAGATTGAAGACCATCCACGATACCTGCATCACCAACTTTGAAGGACTCTTTGACTAATTCAAATCTTGGTGGGCGAAGATAAGTTGGTGAGTAAAATTGAGGTGAGAATTGGAATTGCGAGAAATCATGTGAAGGGTGATGTGCAGGAGCGTTGTGTTGCGAACGAGGTTCATTGTAGAATTTTTCACTTGGACGAATAGGTTGATAGGGGAAAGGTGCTTCTCGTAAATACTGCCAAGACTTGTAACCACTCGTTTTGCATGGTTTCAGAAAAGGAACAGGAGATGTAGCTTCAGATTCGGTGAGGAAAGAACCAGCTGTCCGAGGTGAGTGAGGTGATGAAGAGCCCGCGTTTCCTAGAGAGTAAAAAGTGGATGAAGTGGTGGCACTACTCGCGCAACTCTCAAAGCTAGCTGCCGAATCAGGAGGATAAAGCGAAGGAAAAGCCCATTCCAAGAGTTCTGATCCGATTGGACAGCTCGTATGTTGTTGAGCTTGCGAGAAAGGATTAGGATACAATAAATCTTGCCACATGTCATTTAACTCTGGATGATATTGAGTCCACTCTGCGATACGATTCTTGAGGCTTGGATCTTGTCGCATCAAGCTAGTCATCAGACTCTTGATTTCAATTATCCTGCCATAAATCTGATCAAATTCTCGTCTCTGTGTTGCAACACGCTGTTGTTGAACGGGAATGTCACCACTGTTTCGAACAAGAAGACATTCAAAATGTTATATGGAAATCTAGTTTGTTAGATCATATTGGACACAAGATCTAGAGCGAAGAGCACGATGAAGGACATTTACCTGGGGAAACCACCCTGCCAATCGCAGGCCTCTCCGTCGCCCCTTGAGACGCATCCTTTGCCTAGAGTTATATGAATATGACATATACATCAGTTCATTGACAGAAACATTATGCAAAGAAGAAAACGAAGTAGCCAGACTTGAAAATAGTACTTACAAGGGTAAGTCCGCGAACAGCGTATTTTTCTTTCGCGACATTGCAAGCAAGCGTTTCTGACTCTTCGCGCACCTTTAACTTCTCTTTTCGAGGATGCGCTACTGCCCTCTACCGGAGTGAAGCTCTCGGGGCAATGAGCTCCAGTTAAATCCATGGGTAGCAGAGCCTGAGCAGGTTTGAATGGAGAGGAAGTCGAGTGATGTTCTCGAGGGTGAGCGAAAAGCCGTGATTAAATTGGAAGACTGAGTTACAAAGCCGCGATTATCAATCTAAGCAAAAGTCCGCTTTGTGAAACTTGAGAGTAACAGAAATCTACAACTTCTACGTAGAAGGGTCGAGCAAAGGTCTATGGAGTGAGAGGGATGATACTAAAAGGAATGAGGGAAGAGCCCTTGTAATGATTCATTTGAGTCAAGTTAAGCTCGTTCCCTGGAAAATGGAATCGTGACAGCGTACCAGCATTGCAGCTCAAATCACCAAGTCAGCTCGCGCGATGCACCCTATGAGAATCAATGGCCCGCGATGTCGTATGTGGTCTCTTTGCCCTATGTTTCTGTAAGTAGGATCTATCAATCGGGACCGAACTGTGAAAAACACCTGAAAAAAATTGATCAAAACGGAAGGATAACGAACCTAAAGGGCTGAAGCTACCGAGTAGCAAAGGTTGATGAATTCGTATCCAAAAGAGTAGCATCCAGACCGCTCAAATTGATGTGGTTTGAGAACAGAGCGGAGGATGTGGATGATGCACGGGAACTCGACCTACAAATGAATTTTCTTACGCGGACAACCGCTTGGTCTGAATCGACTCAATTTGAAGGTCAATATCGGCGAATCCACTACAAACTAGCAAGACTCATGATGAGCTACGTATCATACTTTTCCTAGTGTACCAGCTTTGAGTCGATGGCGAGAAATAGTGTTGGAGTAAGGGAATCGCAAGCATCAAAACATATCACCGGATATAATTCATCAACGGAAATGAATATATGATGCTTTCGTGAGCTTGGCAACGTACTAAAGATTTGTACACTTCAGCTTCAAAGATGTACCGATGTGATATAAGGGATGGACCTAGGCTATATCTCCTCTACGAGATGTTAAGCTGAGCAAGAAGCCTCAAAAATTGTCGAGACTCACTCATGATCGTGAAACTTTGATTGCTCATCGGTACCCGAGAACCCACAACGCTGGACATCCAATCATCTAAGACTATTCGTGCAACCTACAATTGGTGAACGCCGGAGAATCTGTCGAAAGATGCTTTCCAGATCATGTGCCCAGCCATCACGGAACGGTTATCACAGCAGAATGGCAGGAAACTGTGAGTATTGTCTGCTACATATAAACCGTCTTTGGCTTTAAGCTTCATTGAATGCGATCCGGATCAACCTCAAGATCTCACATTTAACGATATTCTAATCGATGACCAGAAGACCCCCAAAGCCTTACTTCACGGCCAAGAACAATCAAGAGTTCAGAGCAATGGAGTGGCGAGCGCTAACATATACCATGAAAAGTTCAAACTTCAAACCAAACTTTCCAGATAAATTATGTCAGATGTAAATTTTTGTTGATCTCTGATCCTTCTCCATGTGGAGGAATGTTATGTGAATGTCCTGAAACGCATCTAAGTGAACTACTTTTCCAATGTAACACAGGATACCTCGGGGGACATGTAATATAGCGATGAGCTTGATGTGAATAGTATGGTGGAGTCGATACGCCAGGTACGTAGATTTTCAAATGAAAGATCACAGGAATCACAAAAATGTGGAGTGACCGGAGAACTCAATCCTTCGTCCGAATCTTCTTCAAACTTTCTATGAACATCAATCATCCTCTGATAAAATCACTATATAGTCATCGGAATGGGAGGATGGAGTCAATTTCTCATTACCTGGACGGTGGTGGAAGGTCTTTCCATAATCTGTGTGTGTATCTCTCTGTCGCTTCCATGTTCACAAACGGGCCTTTTAGTGTCAAATACATAGTGAGCGATAATGAATCATCCTGGCAAAGCTATGTAGGTTGTTCAAGACAGGTGTAAAGGAGAGCGCTAATATTTCGTCATCATGAAAGGCCTAGCGAACAACATAAATGAATGAAAACAAATGAGAAAGAATTCGAAATGGCTCAAAAAGACTATCTCTAAAGAAAACTTTCTTCTTGTTAAATAGGTAAAACTGTTCGCTTCATCTTTCGATAATTAGAGATTTGAATTACATCAGTATATCCAACGCTTTCAGGATGGTCGATAGAATGTACCGCCACAGAATCTGGAAAAGAAAAATCCATTCATTATACAATCAATATAGGCTGATCAAACAAAATCCAAATATATAACTGAATAGAAAAAATTAGGAAGTTTTCTTACATTTTCCAGAACGGATTTTTTGCGAAAGGGTATAGATAAATTGACCGCAAGGACGTTTACCATTATCACCTTTATAACAACCACTGGTAGTACCTGGAACGCTTTTAGCAATCGTAAAAGGAGGTTCATTGGTTGTACCTTCTAACACAATCATCACATTTCCTGATGGTGGCTGTGCAAAAAGAATCGAGCATTATGATTGGTGTTAAAGATGAAAGAAACAACTGATTCAGACAACAAAACGTCCTTCACTAACATTTAACCAATTGATCTTCAGTTTATCACCAGTACTTTTTTGAACTTCGCATTTGTAAGAGTCGCAAGCAGGTTCGGTGATACTAGGTTCGAAGGTTTTCTAATCAATGAAGGACTCCAGACTAAAAGGATGATCAAGGTCACTTACTATAATGTGATGCTTTGATCAAGATATGATTGAGATTGGACAAGTGCAGCGGTAAATAGCAGACAGGACTTGATCAACATCGACAACATTGTGAAAGAGTGGGATGTATTGGATGCGAAAGAATATTGGACCTGAATGAATGATGGATCCGAGAAATAGACGAGAAAGTCAAGGTATTTATGTTCTGAACATGTTGGTGCGAGAGTTCCTTTTGTAGGTGACCGTCCGTGCGATGTGAGTGGTCAACTTTGTAACTGATGAGTGGTCGAATTTAGATCAGACAGGTACAATCCATTGGTGCTTCAGCTCTGTGGAGGACCCAGGCTTTCGCCGGATCGCCTTTCCTCTACGGATGCGTCTGATGTGACCCGGTTGTGAGTTTGTGGGCTCTGCACTACACACCAGTCACTCCTTCAAGGTCTTGAGCACTGCAAAAGATGCACTCGGCTCACTGCGACGTAAAACGCAAAAGCGCAAAATTCTTCTTGACCTCCGAGGTCAAAGTCCGATCGTTGGATTTTGGCTGGTACATCAGGATATATCAGGAGCCAGTAGTGCTAAAGAGCTGAAAGTTGGTTCATCCAAAAGCTCTTATCTAGACGCATCCGTTGCACCACTGTAGCCATCATAAAACCACAATGCGGTGTGTCCATGACCCATAAAGATTGAAGAAACATGTCGGATTTTAAATCAGACGCATCCATAGGAGAAACAGGGTCCTCTCTGTGGAGTTTGTCGATGAATCCCGCTAAATCATGTGACCGAGCGAGGTTGGCCTGAGCTCAGCCTCTAGTACTCTCTAGTTATATGGCTCATGATCGAGCATCAGGTCAAAAACGAAATCATCACTTTGGCGAACGCGTCATCAACCTCGGAGTCGCGCCAATACACATGTTTGACTTGCATCTTTCAATCAACTTTTTCACAGGGACCTCGTTCTTTCAACCGCGCCACAACTCATCAGTCGTGATCCCTAAAATCATTCCATTACCTCCAACTTGAATGCCTTCAGATTTCAACAGTTCAATCTTACGATGAACATGATTTGTGGTACTTTTTTGTTTCACTCCTCGTTTTTTACTTGAACTTGAACTCGAACCAGTTGTAGGCACTCCATAATCACCGAAAAAACTATAAAGAGGTCATTGAAAGCGTCAGGTTCAACTTCTAAGCTCATCTTCCTTCGAGTTCTAATCTATTACTTACCCTCCTATGTAAAGATCAGCATTGATCACACGATGACAGGGTACAAACGGAGCAAAAGGATTTGATCGAAGAGCATTCCCACTGATTGTGAAACAAAAAGGGATATTCATAGATAAGAATGAATTGTTAACACACTTTCGAAAATATAGAAAGACAGATAATTGGACACGAACACAGCTTGAGCACCTCCTCTCTTGACACCAGAAGAGTTAGAAGTGAGTAACTGAGCAAGGATTCCATAAGTCGTGACTTTTCCAAGAGGTATACGTATAGCTAAATCATATACTTTCCACTATGTAAATATACGTGAATTAAACCCAGATCTCACAAAACTTTCAATAAAATGACTCGATTTTAGAAGATATTTATTGCAAACTTCACTCAACTTGGAATGCGGTAACTTTCTTTTTTTGAGGGGTAAGATAAGTTTCCCTACTAAGGGAAGTGAGAGGATAATGCGTTTCTGATGATGCTGATGATTCTTTCGATGAGAATAGAAGAGGATAGAGGACGTCAAAAATCAGAAATCAAACAGCATTCAAAGTTCCTTGACCAAAAATTGTATAAGCAGGATAGAAATCTGTTCGTCTCTTCATCTAGAGTGACGTCATCATAGGTCATCATCCTAGCAACCAGTGCTGCACCATCATGAAGGTATATGCGCTGAACCTTATGTTGGAGACAGCTTGTAAGATCACACTCACCGTTTTCTGTGGAGGAAGCCAAGGAGGTCGAAGCAGTGAGGCTGGGGTGAGGCTGGATAGGAGACATCTATAATATAACTTTTCTATAATGTTGGGTAAAGCTTTGCAGCATGAACTCAAACAAAGCTTCTTGTCATCGTGGCGGGCGGCGAGTCCGACCACGCGTCGAGACGCTCCGAGCCGAGTCCGAACAGCTTATCCTGTGGATTCGGTCCACTCGTCCGAGCGCCTGGCGTGAAGCGCAAACAAATGCGTCCCAGATTAGACGTCGCTGGCGCGCCCCTACAACTCATCATATCTGACATAGGCACGCGCCTCTTGCAGGATGGGCTGGAGGGTCTTGAGGAGGGTTATTGATGCCTTCAAGGAACTCCTTCTGGGATGTCTTAGGTGCACAAAACTTGTTGAGAATTTTACCAAGTCACTCCGCTACTTTCATCAACAAATCCCTGCTGTTGTCCATGAAGCTAGAGCTTGTGTGGCAAACCCTCTCTAGGAGTTATGTGGAATTGAAAAAAATATAAATGAACTTCTCCAAAGGATAGTCTCATTCCATGCCAATGAAATATTGAGAGCACCAATTACCAGAGGTAAAAGGACAACAGTATATCTGCAATGGAATTTGTCATGGGTAGGTGGGGAATCCAACATCAAGGCACCTAATCTAATGATTAATTAACATCATTAGTGGAGTTTGGTACTTGTTTATTTTATGACCTTCTGCTCAAGTCTTGTTCTGCAAGAAGACACTTGGTCTCTGTCACCAACAAGCCTATTTCAATCCACATCTGTGTTTACAATAAGGAGTGACTATTAACTTGACGCAAGCCTCAAATCCTTGCAGGGCTTGTTTAACTGTTGCAGGCTTGGTACCTTGGAGAGGGATTTGTGTATTATTGCCTACTTTTGGTGGGCAAGCAGGGATCTGAAAAGCCCTATGTACTACCATACAGCCTTGCATATGGTGTAATTGAAACATTAAGATAATCCTTATCTCAATAAAATGGACAATTTTGACTTTTGTACAAAGTTCATCAATCAAGTATGAGTCCTTTTTCAAGATCAAGAAGACCGCATCATTGAGGTCTTTTGTCTTTTTTGTTTCCAGAATACAATTATTGCCCAAAACTAACTTCAAACTTTCAAAAACTTCATTTCTTGCCTGAAGGCAAGCTGAGAGTGAGATAATAAAAATCTGAATAGACAGATTTGCTGGGAATACTTACAGGTAGCTCCACTGGAAATGGGTCAGGGGCTTGATTGATAGGAACTACAAGTTTTCAAGGTGTTGGAAAAACTTCAAGCTCAACTTAAATTTTGAACCCCATACTTGCTCACCAAGTAAGCCCCAGAACACCCAAGTCTCTCTCTCTCTCCACGCACCCAGGCTTGCAAGGGAAAAGTTTTGAACTACGGGCACTCAGTTAAGGGAGTGACTGGTGATTGTAATTATCTCAATTTTTGATCAGCTCATGATGTCTTGTGTATCAAGGAGTTGTATAGAATAAGAATTTTTATGAAGAATTCTCATATATTTACCCACAGCTAGTTTATATCATGACTCAAAATTTGAATCTTCATTGACTATGTGGCACTGTGTAGAGACCACCAATAACCAACATATCAACAGGAACCATGACCCTCTTGCTACAGGTGCAAAGTGATTCCATGAAGGTAGATGATTACTTGTCCATAGCCAGGGTAGCTAGCGACACTGACATTTTGTAAAGTATCCACACCCTACTGTAAAATCAACTAGCAAGTGTGTCTTGGGTTGTAACTTGCAGACCCTCATTACAGGAAAGATACAGGGTGTTAGGACCTGGTCTGGGGGATTGCCTTGTGATGCTTGGGACAAAGGTACAGTGCGGACAATCTGTGTATAACAGATATTGTAGCGTGAGGCAGAGGGACAATAATACAAGGAACAAAAGCCTCTCTAGGTGGCTAAGTGCCATGGCCTGTGAGTTTTCCTCCCTTGATCTGTGACTTGGGATCATAACACAGGATCAGCTACCTGATGGAACAAGATCCTTATCATGCATTGTTCCTTGAAGGGTAGCATGTGTTAAAATGTGGTCAGTTAAATTTGATCAAGACATATAGTGCTGCATCTTGCTCCATGTAGGTGCTTCAGGCACTTTGATGGTAGTTCCACACCAAAAGCCTCAAGATGTAGGGCATTTTCCATTGAAGGCAAGGGGCTGTGAAAGAGGCTTGGCATGTCACAATCAAAACTGTGGCCTAGGTGGATAGCAGAGTGTGGGAATACAAGAATGTGCAGCAGAAATTTTAGCACTGAAAATCCTGGTGTTTCCGTTTGCTAGTCTCTCACAGACTCCACTCTGAAATCTTAGCAAAGAAAATATTTGAGCTCTCTACCATGCCTTGCAGTTCTACCCACTGTCCTGATAGGCTAAGACTGGTATCTTGGGAGCTTATAGTGTACTACACAAACCTGGCAAAGCTGCAAAGTATGGGCCTGGTTGGGGGCCTGGTAGTGGTCCTTCCCTAGGAGGCCGCCCCACTCTACCCTCACCTCTACTAGCTGTTTCAAACTATCCTGGAGGTAGTATAGGAGACCTGAAGATCCCAGAGATTCACTGGGGTAAGGTTCAGCAGTAACAGCCCTTGACTGAGATGGACAGTATATCTTGAATGATCCAAGTTACAGATCCTGTGGTGTGATGATCCTGAGGTGTGAAACATCATTTTTGCTATAAGGATTTTTTTACCAGTCACTATGGCATCTGGGAAAGATGTTGTAATACACATATGGCAACAGAAGAATATGTCCATCAAACATAGAACCAATGAATTCTATCATAAAATACAGAATCACATCTCACCTATATCAGACAGTTGTGTTGTTGGAGGTAAAGTGGATAGCAGGTTCATCAATTGCTGACACAGGAGAATTTTTTTGTTGAAATACTGGATTGCTGCGGACTCTGGAACCAATTCCACACATGGTATAGCACCTGCAGTCCATTTTTCAGACAGTCTGTATGCTGTCTTATCTTTGAAACATCCAAGCTGATGTGGATTGAAACACAAAACCAATAACTTGACCAAGTCTTTGGGGAAGAGGTAGACAATGTGATATAAATTCTGTATAAGAGATGATTGAACTTTCCTCAACATTCTATCTGTGCACTTCAATTTTGCCTCATATCTCTGGAAAATGATCATTCAACAAATCACACCTCAATCAGCATTTTCTTTGATATGTGTCTTTGCCCTCTGGATGCCCTATACACATTCACACTTTGTGGAGCAGTTGGATTCTATACCTCCAGAAGACTTTTACTTCACCTATGATGAAATCATGGAAGTCCTAGAGCCGGAACCTGCACACATATCACCTGATGTACCCAACTCTAATCTTTGGGATGACAATCTTGGATTATCTCACCCAAAACCATATGAAATTGCAACACATGAGACACACAAGCTAACAACACCCACATCAACATCACATCCTTCAGAAGGCCAAATTACAAGTGAAGAACATCACAAACCAACTCATGATATTCTGTCAAACCAAAGAGATCTACTCTCAAACTACGATGAAATTTGGGCAGCCCTGGAGTCTGCACCAGCGCAAACTTCACCTGAGGTACCCGACTTCAATTTCTGGGATGACAATCCTGGAGTATCTCACCAAAACACCTATGGATTAGCATCACATGACACACATGATCCAACAACTTCTACATCCACAGCAGATATTTCAGAAGGTCCAATTACAAGTGAACAACACAACAGACCAACTGGCAATGTTTTGTCAAAACAAAAAGGTCTACTTGTGGAGTCTCTTCCAGGTGAATCATCATCTCCCAATAGGGGTGAGAAGCAAGATCATTCTTTGGAATTACCCAAAATTGAGGCAGTTGACATTGAAAGCTTCATTGTCCATGAACCTGTGAAGCTTTTTTCAAATGCAGCAATAATCCTTGCAGAATTACACAAAGACAAGATATTGGAAGAATCACAGAAAATACTAGATGAGAATCAATTGGAGGAAGCAAGTTTAATTTGGACTGAACAAACAATTCTCCCTTTGGTTTATTTCATAATTTTGCGTCAACCTTCGGTTGAAATGATGAGAAGGACCATGAAAATCACGGCGGTTTACATGGCAGCTTACCATCGAGAGTTTCTTACGGACTCCAAAAAGATTGACTTCCCAAAACTTATGAATTTTTTAATCTGGAATATGGAAATCTTCTATTTGATGTTAGATCCTTTGATAGATTCACGAGTAACCGAGCAAGAAGGAAAAGAACAAGCCATTCTGTTTGGTGGAAGAAGAAATATACATCCATTGTCACGCACGTTCCTCTCACTTCATGACACGCAAGTTCATACAAACACGTTTATCCGGTCAAATCGAAGTGTTCGCCGGTTATTTACAGAAAACCTTTTGTTGGCTTGGAAGCAGGATGTGGAGGCAGGATATGGGAGTTGGATGCCGGGACACGACGGGCCCTTCGGCATATGGGAGCATTGGATACAGAAAGCTGCTCAGATCAGACTGATAGGTCAACAAGACAATCCCTTCCCATTGGAGTCAAACCACAACAGCCTGCTCTTGTTGGACCATCTTCGATTGATGACTATTCAGGGTCCTCCCCGGAAACCTCTCAAGATCGATGGAGTCCACAAGTGGAGCGTAGCACTTGATTATTTCATTCGTGTATATGCACCTGCTCATGGAGTTCAAGAAAATCCTACTTCAGTCAAACTCCTTTCTAAATTACTGGATCTCCATCAGTCTGAATCCGAGGTCCAAAAATTCTGGGCAAGCTTTGACTGGGGTACGTGGCAGCCTGGGAACACAAATCGAAAATTAGGAACCCGTCACAGAAAGAATGTCACTCCAGATCAAGAAACTTCACCTGAAGACTTGTCTTATCGCCTATTACAAGAAATCAAAACCAAATCGAAACCAAAAGAAGATAACTTGAAGCCTTGCACAGGTCAATCATCTCTTCCCCTTCCTAAAACTCATGGTCATCACTCCCCAAATGTTGAACAAAGTGAACAGCTGGACTTTATCATGACCCATGAGCCCTTGGAAGCATATTCAAGGGCTGCAAGAATCCTTGCAAAATATCATACAGTGGGCATATTGGCAGAATTGGGAAAATCGCTCAACTCCGATCAAGTCGTTGAAGCTACCGCCATCTGGGGCAAAGAAATCATCCTTCCGTTTGTTTATTTTATCATTTTGCGTAAGCCATCAGTTGGCATCATGAAAAAAATCATCAGAATCAGCACTGTTATGCTTGTAGCTTACCATCGAGAGTTCCTAATGAGCCCCACAAGTATAGATCCCGCAAAGCTTGTTAATTTTTTGATGTGGCATACAGATGTGCTTGCTTCTTTGCTCGATCTATCAATACCAGAGGCAGAAGAAACAGAGCAATTGCACCAAACTGGCAACAAACGACCTCTAGGCACATTGGCTCGTATATTCCTGTCACTTCACGACCATACAACTTATTATGCCACATTTCACCGCGCATCCACAGAGTATCTTCGATCGTTTGTCGAAAGGCATTTTTCAATCTGGAAGCAAGACCTGAAATTAGGATATGGGAATGTCATCCCGGCCAAACATGCGGAAGCCGACCTCTGGGAGTGTTGGAATTCTAAAGCAACTCGGATCAGACTCTTTACGGAGCAAAACAAAGACCATAACCCTCATGAATCCCTCCATCATCCAAGCCCTTATGTTCGCTTGAGTATCACTGATTGGAATTTTGCTCCGCCATCGATTTCCTCAAGTAAACCTCATGAATTAGACGAGCTGCCACTGTTGTTGACCCAAGAACCCTTTCAGAAATCCCTTCCAATTGATAGAGCTCAACAATCAGCCTTAGAACTCAATCATTTCTTAGATCCACGTCTTCGTAAAGTCGAAGAGGGCCCAGCTTCAGCCAACCTTATCACTAAATTCCTGCATCTCAAGGAGTCTAGAGTAGAGTTTCAAAATTGGAAAAGCTTGTTGATTTCCAGGGATTACGAAAACGAACAAAAAAGAAAAAGAAAATTGGGAGTCCAATCACCTTCGTTTGGAGAACGCAGAACAACAGAAGAATCAAATCACTTGACAACTCAAGGAAGAAAGAAACAAACCAAGTAGAATGTTTTATAATGTATTTCAATCCATTTTTATCATTCATATGTTGCCCCCACGCTACATAAGTTGCTCTTTTGGGATGTAATTTAGTTTCAGAATGCATGCATTACATAGAGAATCAATCTATGACATTCTGATCAAGGAAAGAAGTTTGTTTTGCCATTGGATTTTGTCTATCCTTTTTTACCGTAATCAAAAATTCCATTACCATACATTCGGAGATCATTGTTTTCATTTTTCGTTTGCATCTCGAGCTCAAAGTTGTGTTCCTTTGAGATGTAGAGACTTATGCAACATAAATTTCAATTGTATGTTGGTCCAGTTCTGTGAGCTCTATACACACTACGCCATATGACTAATATACCATGGAGTTTACTAAAGTCTTTGGATTTAGAAAACTCTGATCATTTTCTGAACTCTTATGATCAGAAAACAAACATCAGTGTGGTATGGAATGTTCACTGACAACCCAGGCAGTCAATAGGTCTGAGGTGCAGGACAACTAGTACTGGATGCAAAAGCTTACATGATTTATGTCAAGTGACTCTCACTGGCAGGTGGTATCACTGTGTTTCTTTATTCTTACACTTTCATTCATATGCACGTACTTGAAATTTCTAGAGATCTTGAGATCTCAATGGATGATCCATCTTGCATAGGGTTGAAGAAACAATCCAATACTATATTCATTCCAAAGTCTTGATTAAGTTCATAAAGAAAAAAACTGAGATGGCTTGAATTCAAAAGAGTATATACAATTAGTGTTTTAAGATAATGAAGCCTATTGTAGATACATCCACATTCTGATCCATCTCCCCTGGTTTGAACATGATCCATACACACTGAGCAATCACCTCATTTAGCTTGATTATTTTCTGCTCGGTAGAACTCCATAATCTCAATGCGCACTGTACTTCTGACGGGTGAGTCAAGTCAAAAGGATTACGATGCGTGGGTGGTAAATGGGGGAAGCATTGTACATGGAGCCATGTATCAGTAGCAATTCCAGATGGTACCGAAGTCCTACTATGGGAAAATATTGAATATACTCGAGCAAAGCAATCAGAACCTTTTGAGTCCTTGAAATAGATGCAGCAATTATCGGGGTTTTGAGTGAACGTAGAAATTAGTCCGTCAGTGTGTTCAACCTGTTTATAGAATTGAGCACGAGCGGCTACAGGAGAATAGCCAATTGAGTCGCTCTTGCTCAGTAAGGCCCACTCATCTGGGCGGCGCCATACACATGGTTCTTTCTTACTGTTGTTCAGATAATCAACAAGTAGGTTGAGGACGTCATTCGAAAGAGGGGAAAGCTGGGAATTTGATGGTCGACGCGGCCTTCGCAACAGTGGGCTGTATAAGGCTTGAAGTCGTGAAGTGTACGGTTTTAGAGTCTCAGGTAGTTTATCATCTTCGATCAAAGCCGAAAGATTTGATGCACGGCAGAATTTATGCAGAAAGGTTATCTCAAGCTCAGCTGTTACAATAAGAAATAGAGACAGAGTGGTCAGTGAAGCTCCATTTTAAAAAAGGAATAATGAATCCAAGACTTGCTTACTGATATGATTGTTGTGTTCTGCCTTAAGGATCTGTCCCATTAACCGCTCAAAGGGGAATGACCACCATGCACGCACCGGTCCGAATTTTTCAAGACAATCGGCCAGGTGGACAGAAATGTGATGATTGGGAGCAAGCTTGCAGTGCTGAAAAAGTAAAACAGACCCTTCCAAATATTTTCGAATGTGATAAGGGTAATATTTGATGTGAGTAGAATTAATGACACGTTTGAGTCCTAAGTTCACAACCGAGACTAAGTGGATGAAATTCTTTAGGAGTGAGGTTTTGATATGATCTTTGCCTGACCACATTGGGATTAATACCAATGGAAGCTGCAAGGTGATCAAGCTTCTCCATTCGTCTGCTTTCAGCTTCCCAAACGATGCTTTACCTAAGACGGGAATGGGACGTTTGATCCAAGTCGGAGTATGCATCTTGGGGAGTATCGAGTTGATGTGACGAAGTACTGTAGCATCAAAGATGATCTCCTTGAGGGGTGGGGGATTCCATTCTCCCTTCCACCCAGAGTCATCGAAGGGATTGAATTCTTGATCGCTTGATGATGTATCATTTGAAAACTCAATATCGTTGAGATTTTGATCCAATCCTTCGGGGTCTCTTTCTGAATCAAGTACGGTTGAATTGCGAACACGGGGTAAAGGTTCTGAGTGCTCAGCGACAAGCTTCAGAAGCTCGACAGTACTAATCGGTGGTAGCTTCTCTTCATCATTTTGAAGATCTTTCATCGCCCAAAAACGTCGAACATGCCAAGAGGATAGACCTAGAAGTAAGTTGTGCATTGAATCTACAACGTGATAATCAATGATATTCCAATAATCTAATTCAATGAGCACTGAGTAGCGTAATCCGTGTGTTTTGAATATCTTTTTGCGTTCTTTAACTGTCTTAGCATCACGGGCCTCACATGCCCATTTGTGATGTTGACACCACGTACAAGGTTCCCACGAGTTTTGATCAAAGTTGTTGATTTCGTTTTTCTTGAGGAGACAGAACGAGCAGAAAAAAGTTGCAGTAGCGCTGGGGAATCCAAGGCAGCGGCGGAGAGATGGAATATCGGCAACAAAAACTAACAATGCCGCTCTGATAAGACGTCCATCCTGGTATTCGTGAGTTCGAGAGACGAGTAAGCCTGTTGACCACAAGACTTGAAGTTCAGTGACAAGTGGTCGTAGGATCCAATTCATTTGCTCGAGCGAGGGTTCACAAGGTCCGGGAGCGATCCCCACTACAAAGACGTTCTCGGGTTGATGTCGAAGATCGGGAGGGAGACTTAAACAAACAAGAATCACAAATGTGATAGAAGTGTGATGCCCACTTTTTTTATTACCGAATGGGTTGATTGCATCCACAAAAAGAGCAAAGGTTAAGTTACTGCTATTACTTGTAAATTGGCTCCAATCTGGACCGCGGAACTCCTTCCATAGTCGAGACTGATAAATGTCTTGTATATTGGCGGTTGGATCGAAAGGTTTCGAAGATTCTGCTGCTGAAACCTCAAGCTCTTTTTTGATTCGAGGTCGAGAGAGGAGACGCGCAATCCAATCTGAGAGGCTCTGAAATGCGTAACGGCGAGCAGGCTTCTGTACACCACGTATATATTTGAATAGAGGCTCGCCACATATCGAGTCTGAAAATTCTGGCTCGTTGTCTTCTGAAGGAAGAGAAGGGGTGTTGTCGTTTGGATCAACAGAATCGGAAGGTCCACCCGGGATATTTGCAATACAATGATGACAGTGAGATGGTGCTCGATTCTCGGGGTACATCGCAAAGCACGAGGAACAGCAATTCAGATATTGTAGGACGGGATCGAGCTCTAACCATCGGAAAGTTGTTGTAGCTGAGCTAGGAATTTTCTTGAGAGTGGCAGCTTCTTCAGGAAGAATCTGACGGATCGGTGACTTTGTAGGTAAGATTCCATGTGTTGTAGATAGCTCAATCGTGATGGTCTGGATATCAAGGATCCATTTCGTGATTGAATTTGAGGATTGTCCGAATACGTCGAGAATGGAAGCAGTGAGAGCTGCATGAAGAATAAGTGGATTTGCTGATTTCAAATCGGATTCATGAAAGTGATCTGGAAACAGTAAAAAGTAATTGTGTAACAGATCAGTACGGTCAGTCATGAGATATTTGACTAACACGGTATACTGAAAAAGCTACCAACCACAATCAAACACCGTTTGACCTGAAGATTTTGCCAAGGCTGCCTCAGAGCACGTTTTGGTGGACTTGGACCGTGATTTGGGAAGAGAATCAGTTGCAGGGATTGTTGGTGACTCTACCTCGGGCGCTTGGTTGAACATTTCGTCATCTGAGCGACCTGAACGATCTATTGAGGATCTTCCGTGAGGATGTTTGTCATCCGGATGTCAATCATTATGCGGAGTAGAAGGTAATGAGGTGATACGTAATTGTCTCAAAGGCGACAGCAGGTTATCTTGAGCCGAATTGATTGATGATTTGTTTGAGTGGGTTGGGGTACGAGGTGATTTTGGTAAGCTGTTTCAAAAATCAGCGCGTTGGTGAGCAGCACGTGTCTCGGGCAAAACCTCAACCCCAGGGTGGTAGGTTCCGTTGGCGTCGGGATATTCTTCCTGAGAACATTTGTAAGCAACACACGTACACACAACTCGATGGACTTGTTTGATTTGATTTTGCGGAGGCATTCGAGAACAGCAATCAAGCAACAATCAATTTCACGGATGATAATACAAAGTCGAGATAATTCTGGGGTGTTTTAACGTATATGAGACCTTTAAAAGAAGAAAAAAAAATCAAAGAAAAATTTATTTTTGGGTTTTAATGTAATATATATGATCGGACATTCAAAAAAAAGGCATGATGAGGGAGTCTCTTGAATAGGAGTAAGGGTTGAGTCCAAATTTAAAAAAGGTGGAAGAAAAGTGTGAGCGAACACAAATACTGCACGATTAAAAATACAAGACATCTTTATCTGGGGTCATGAGCGTATGAAAACTAAGAAACTTCTGATGAAATCAGTGCTTGTTTGACAACTGTGAACAGTGTGGCTGTAGATCATTAGACATGATTGGTTTTCTGCAAATACAAATGCATATCCAGTCAGTTCTTCTGCTGAATACTAAAGCAAATTTATCAGAAGACGTATGAAGAAGTCTGAAGCTTACACTTTGCATGCTCCTCTTTGTCTTCTTCCATAGAGTCCCCTACAAAATCCAATGCGGTCAAATCCAAAAGGGTGTAATGATACCCAAGGATAAGGGGACTATTAGGAGTCCCGTCGTGAACAAACTTGATATATAGGTCCGTAAGGCAGCCCTTATTCATAGCCAATGAACGTACAAACACTCGAGGTGCAAAATATCGCAAAGAAAGAAGAATGTCCTCCATACTTTCACTCTTGAGTCTGTTGATAGGGACAGTCCGAGGCCTCTTTGTGAAGCAATCACTTGCAGGAAGTTTAAGGTGAGGGTCGACTTAAGTCTTGTATAGAATTAAAACATCATCGATAGTGGCACCGGGCGATACATCGGTTTTGGGTGACTTGCTTGCAATTGCTTTCACAAGCATCGGGCGAGTGGTTTTGCGGCTCAGTGGGTCAAAATCGAGGTCTGTTGCATCCGTATCCATAGGCGCAGAAGGAGGAGGTAAGAGATACGGTTTGAGGAGGGGGCGCACTTCGTCAATAAGGACCTTCTTGAGTGCATCTTTTTTATCACCAGGTCGACTCTTCGTAGCAGGATTGAAAAGGTATATAATGTTATAGCAGTGTAACTTCAAAGGCTTGTGGCTGACAGAGTCAAAGTCGTAGGTAAGAAAGATTCGCGCCTCTGTCGCAAGAGATTGAACCTTGGCAGCCACCGGGTCTTCTGGAGGTGGACGTCGGAAACGTTGGGCCGATGCAAGAGGAGAGGTTTGACCAAGTTTTGGACCTTCGGCAGGCGGACTGAGGGGTGAGGCATTTGCTGAAGTGGGGTTACGTGTTCTTGGTGGCATGACGGCGAGTCTGAAGGTCTATCCATGAAATCAAAGATCATCAAAAATTTCCAAACAAATGATCAGCATGTATGTTAGTAGAAAAACAAAGACAACATAACACACTTCAAACTTTATCAAATGACCAGACAAGATGAAAGGAGAGAAGAAAGACGAGATTGCGGACTGCTTGGTCAACAAAGACTTTGATGGTAAAGGCAATATCAGCTACTAATTATATGATGATTCTCTTTTGAAGAGCCAGCAATAAAAGCGAAAAAGACCAACAAAAAAAGCACGGCAAGTTGATGGAAGATGAAAAAATCAACATCAAGGAGCAACATAGGCCTTTCTATATATCGTGTCTCTCCCTCCTTCTTTGTTTATACATCCTGGATGGCAAGCATACACGTGTAAGTGATTACCATCGACTGTTTTCCTTTGTTTGACCCATTGAGAATTCGGTCCAAGTAACACATTGACCAGCAAAATCATAGATACTGATCTGTGACCCTGAACCATTGTTTGGTTGTCATGTAGCTCAGGTAATTGCCAAAAGGAGAAATGTGGGACTGACTCATGGAAGTTTCTGATCAGTCGATCTACATTCATAAATTAAAAGCGTGAAAGGCTCTTTGTCAGTGGCTTCTAAGTCATGAAGGATGCTGCAAACAACTCATGATGCGACTGTAGATTTGGGGTCGCGACTTAACTCCAAATACGAAGAACTTCTCCTTTGAAACATAATTTGAAGGTGCGGGTCAGTATCTAATGCTTCATGGATTCATCCCTTCATATCAAATCTCTAGAGGCCTGATTCTTTCTCCATCTTACTTCAGAATAGTGCCTCAACACTTATTTTTGACTCGTCTCTTCTGCTTTCCCAGCAGGAAATCTCTCTTCTTCGATCAATCCTAAATCCATTCTCTCATAATTATGTCAGAACCCAGTGCCAGAGGTACTCTTGAAAACTTTCTCGGCCCCAGCGCCCCATCTGTTGGTAAACAAACTATGCTTGACTGGTTGCGCATTCATCATCCAATGACTCCCATAAGATCAAATCTCAGCAAAGGCGAGGTAGCAAAGAAAGTTCGAGAGAAACAACCTGAATGTCAGTTCAACTTTTTATCTCCCTCTTTCATCTCCTCAAATTGTTGTTCATTTTTTGACTTTGAGGATGCTCATGACGATGTGGGTTCTCGATAGTTTTCCCTGATCCGACCTCAGATGCCCCAGCGGTTGCTTTCCCAATCATCAACATGTATCCCACTCTTGAAGATCTTCGGGTATCCTCTCCTATCACCTCTGAGCCTGTGAAGCCAAAAGAGCCATTAGTAAAGCGCTCTGCATCTCAAGATTTAGAATTTTCCTATCCACATAAGCGCATAGGAATTGGTCAGTCGTTTCTCTTTTTTTGTCAAATACCATACATACATACTGACACTTATTAACAAAATTAGGAATGGAAGCAAAGCCGGAGAGTGAAGTTTGTGACACGTCTACATCAAAGATTATAAAAAAGAAAAAAGTGAGCATCAAACCTTTGATTTAATCACTTTCCAACTCTGTTCATTGATTATGATTTCCTGTAGCAGTCCTCAAGCCGCCCCAAGACGGCAAAGAGAACTACTGTTTGTCAACGATCGAAGCCAATTGTTTCCAATCAGATGGACAGCGTGTCCATCTCTTCACCAAAAGTTTCATCGATTTTGAGTCTTAGTAATGAAGACGAAAAAAAAGAACTTGAAGGACTGAAGCAATCCCTCTTTGCGCCTCTTATAAATGATCAAAATGGTACTTCGCACAATCCGACTTCAAAAAATTGGAGTGTGCCCAAAGTTTCTCCCATCAAAAAAGAAAGTAGCCTGATGAATACGTTTTTCAACATTGGCCCGAATCACTCACAAGGCCACCAAGGCTGGAATCAATTGAGATTACAAGAACCACTCAACCACGCCAAAGAAGCAAACCCAGCTCATGTCTCAGAAGATATGGATCTTATTCAGTTTTCTGATACCGAAGTCTTTGAAGTGGGAAATCTAGGTAACTGTCTCTCTCTATTCCTTCAACATTTGTTAAAAAATGCTGAAATCTTACAAACCATGCCCAGTGATCGGCCAGGATATCCCAGCTATCAATGCAAAGGGAAATCTTTCACCCTCAAACAAGAAAAGCGGTGTTGATGTCTTCAAAGAGGAGCAACAGCGAGAAGAGAAAGGTAAGTTCAAAAACAAGTAGGTCAATATTAAGCAACCATATTTCTCATCAAATCATCCATCCAGTGCAAACTCTAGAACGACGATTAGCTCATCTTGAAAGTTCACTTGAAGAGATGGAGCAAAAGGCCAGTATAAAACTTTTCCAAGATCTCCAACAACAACAAGCAAATGGTATGTGTTTTCCTATCTTCTTTAGCAGATCAAAACTCTTCAAGCTGACTCCTGTGTATTCTAGCCGGCACCGCTGAACAGCATTCTTCTAAGCTAGATGAAGCAATGCAGAAGATTTCAATTCTTGAAACTAAAGTTAATGATCTTCAAGTAGACACAATCGACCTACAACACGAGTTGGACATTGCTTACGTCTTGATAAGAGGACAGGCGCGAGCACTGAAGGAGTTACAGTCGATCCTAGAATGGTTGGAAAAAATGAAAAACTCGACTGGAAGCACAGGTCCGTGCGCTGAGCAGTTACACAGAGATGATGTCGGACACTGGCCTTTACAGACTCTTCAACATCGACCAATATTTGGACAACTTTCTCAAGATGAAGTTTTGATTACTTTCAGCCTTACTTCAATGTCGATATCGAATCTCTCGACGATGGCCATACCCTTTCACCTATCTCATCCGGTTTTCCTGTTTGTCCCATTCCTCCATCCTCGCCTATCAGCCACCAGCTTCAAATCTCGTCAATAACAGCAAAATCACCAAAATCACGATGAACAACCCATCAAACCCTTCACACACCCCGAACAGCGCAGGCACGTTGACCAACAACGAAGCGCCACAATTGCCGAGGCATATCGAGGGCCAATGTGTACACAAGTGGTCAGTTCTTTTCGGTTGTTGTCTTTCTTTTGATTTTTATTCTGTTTTCTTCAATTGTTTTTGGGTTTTTATTCTGATTACTTCGATTGGTCAGGCCTAGTCCGAATGATCCAACTCAAACTGTGTTTTATCATCAAGCCAGTTGGTGTGAATGGTCTCTACGACCGGGAATGCCGCCAACACCTCCTAATTTGTCGAACCCGATGGGCCCTGGAACTATGACCTTGGGGATGATTAGCCCGTCTCCACAACCAAGAAGCAACGGACTGCCGATGAATCATGGTCTTAGGCGTGAAGATTCAATGGATTCATTGCAGTTCAATCCGACTCGTAGTATGATTGGAGAATCGACTAATCAATCCCGTCCAAGCGCTAATGCCAACATCACTCCAATTAATCCCAATCGTCACATCTTGAATCCGAACTTCAGTCCGATCAATCAATTGGATGCGATATTGAATCCTGGTCTTAGCCCAAACAGTTAAACTCATCAGGCCCTCAATTCCGGCGTCAGTCGTGGTAATTCCTTTACAAATCCTTTGCCCAGCTTGGATTCACCACAGCTTGTCCAAACGCCTCAAAATCACTTTCAGCAAGTCAGAAGTACCCCTCTGGATGATAGATCTCTTGCTTCTTGGGGTTCACAAACTCATGTTTCCGAAACCTCCAACAACTCAAGCTTTGGATTATCCCAAAGGCATTTGAACATTTACCAATCTCAAACGTCCGATATGGTTTTACCCAGTCGCGAGAGCTCTGTAGCTCTGTGTTCAGACAACGAGTCCGATCAAATGGATCCTGCACCTGCGGAATCCGAAGACGCACGTGGTGGTAACATGCCTTGGGAGCCTCTCAATGATGGTGCTAACGATGGTGAGTGTTATGTCATCAAAAATGTTTCAATGATAATGATTAATGGGTGGTTTTCATACGCAGAACCTTTGGAGCGTGAGATGTGGCTTAAATATGTGGTACATTCTAAACAAGGCGTGGATCCGACTAAAGGACCTAATGTAGCTAAAAACCGAGCTCCAAAAATTTTTACTCACACTTTCAAAGCGCGCAAGTTTTCAATCGATATCAACAATGAATCCTTCTCAGACTTGAAGTCCACTCTATTTGAGTACTCTGACCAGATGGGTAAAAATGCTGCCGGTAACAGCTTCATCTTCAAAGTGGCCGACTCGACCAACTCGGTTATCTACTTGGCCTACATTCATAGTCACGCAGTGTACAGTAAAGGCCACGAGGCGGAACTCAAATCAGATGAAGATGTGAAGAACTTTTTCCGTGCGCTTGCGACTCATCCGACACGCACCTCTGGAATCGATGTAATGATGGTGGATCCCAACAAGAAGAAGTTGGAGGCTGAAAAGGTAAAGTTGCATTTCGATATACATATTCTTAACATATAAAGATGCTAATCTTTTTTTTATGGCTAATAGAGTCTATCCATTGGCCAACATCAATTACTTGCAAAGAACATCAACAACAATGTCAACACCACGTTATCCGATCTAGCCCATACCACACCTGAGGACCCGGCCGACAAAGCCCTGGCAGAGTTAATGTTAAAGTATAGCACCGCCAACAACAACAATGCTGAGGGATGGCGGGTTTATAAACATGACGATGTAACAAAAGTCATGCCCATGAATTTCCAACTCTTAGGAATATGGGCCGAAGAAATGGTATGTGAATTGATTATATGCCTCTGCCTCTGATTAACTGACTCACGAAGTATATTCATTGGCACACTGCAGGTTAAGGATCCAGCGGTAACTGTCGACATCCCGCCAGACCTTCCAGGTTTCCAATGGAGTGACCTCAAAAAACCGGTGACCTTACAGACTCTGCTCACTAGCAATGAACCTGTCGAACCTGTCATCGATGGCATCGATGACTTCTCACCAATCAGACCGGGTACCATCTCCGAAGCCCAAGGCTATGACATCGTAGTGGATCCATACGAACTCGAGCGCATTAGGACCCATGCCACGATGGAGGACTACATGGCCTTTGCGGGAGTACGAGTTGGCAAGGTTGACGAAGCCGTTCAATTACTGTTAGACAACAATATAGAGCGTTTTGATGCTTTTTTGTATCCCGAAGAGACCGGCTTGAAAGATATCATTGACATGGGAATCAAACGCGGAACTGCTATGAGACTTATGAATTCGGCCCGCCGCTTTTATCGACATCTCATTGAAGACGAGATCAACAACCCAAGAGAACCTTTCAATTCAAGCATGTGCTTTTAATTGATTTATGCTCATTTGAATTTTAACTTAGAAATTATCATCGCACCATTCTCAATACATGAATATTAGAGGATTTATCTGTTATCTGATAGTTGAACAACCTTCAAACATGAAAAGGTTTGTCAAAGATAGAATGCGTAGAATTCCAAAAAAAACCTTACGCTATTGGTCTCCCTCCCATTTATAAATCCCCTTTCAAAAAAGTGATTCGTAGTTTGTCTCTCCATTTTAAGGTGATTCTTAGTTTGTCTCTCCATTTATAACACACATATCAGTGTTTATCATGTAGTAGCTCTATGTTTACAAAACCCCAAAAAAATTGTTTTGCTGTTCCTTTTCTATTAAAACCAAAAAAAGTGTTTCGCAAAGGTAATGAAATCAAAGTCCTATTGTTCATAAATCACAACGTGGTCATTGATATGTGCCCTGCGAGAAAACACCTAAGTGAGTGAGCTTTGGTGATAGGTGATGGGACATAACCTATCACCTTATCACCTCTCTATCGCATCAAGAGATTTGGTCTTTTATAGAGAAAAAAAAAGACCAAATCAAAACATATTACCCAGGTGTTTCCCAGCGAAAAGAACATCCAAAAAGATGTGTTTTCGGAGGCACTTTGAAGGCACCCGAGTGCTTTAAACACTAACAAACAAAGATCTTTCTGGATCGTGCTTTTCAATCAAAAACAATTTGATTGAAAAGCACGTTCTAGATCATGCAACAACATGATTTAATAGGCAATATTAATCAAGGTATTTTTATTCGTGTAAGAAGAAATATTACAAATACCAACAAATCAATCACAAACTTCTTGATCTGAACCAAGACAGATCAAAGAAACAACATTATCTAAGGGAGTTCTAAAGAATCAAAGACAAAAAAATTTTTCATGACTTGACTAATCAAAAGAATCTCATCGATGATGTAGAAAACCAACCACGTAAACCAACTAACAAATTTATTTTCTTATCTTGAAAATTTCAAAAAAATAAAACGATAACTTTTTTTTTATGACTTAATTTTTAAAAGGGATCAAACCGATAACTAGAGACAGTAACAACGTAAAGTGGAAAATAAAACTTTCGAGTGGAAGTTGTTTATCAAACAAAACATCTTGAGATGATCTCTTGATTAAAGAGATCATCTCAAAACATCTTGCAAAATCTCATGATTAAAGAGATCATCAATGATCTCTTTAATCAAGTTGCTCCGATTAGGCGCCTGTTGTATACCCAAAAAAAACATATTAAATCTTGAAATATCTTTATGACGAGATAAAATTAATGTGGATTACTTACCAGGCTAAGGTGGAAATTGTTGATTATATCGATCCCAATAAAACTGGGTTACATAACCGCTGGATACAATCAGTGGCTGCATAAGAGGTCTGGTCATCACTCGGCCAGCAACACCAAGTATATATCTACATTTATCATTCTTGTAACGCCAACGTTGCTCGCGTTGTAGTCGCTTTTTCATACAATTGAACGCCTTCTCAATCGGATTCAAGTCGGGCGAGTACGCAGGCAAGTATATTAACAATATGCCTTTCTCCCGACATAATTCTTCAATCTTCCCACCATGATGAATCTTCGCATTGTCTAAGATCAGAACCGACTTTGGCGCAGGGTATGGATTCATGACGGGAAGCTGTTGAAACAGATGATAATTCCATCAGTTTCATAATTCAATGTGACAAATTCGGATGCCGACTTACCAGTTTACGAGCTAGGAAAAGTTCTACGTGAACACGCTCAACCGGCCCTTTCACTACGGTGCCTGCGATCATGCCTTGCTCGCAAACAGCAGGCAGGATGGTCCAGTGATCATTCTCCTGGTAGCGAGTGGCACGGACTGTGCGAGTACCCGTTGGTGCCCAGCTTTTTTTTCTCGTAGCATCTCGTCCAACGACGCCGGATTCGTCTACACAAGTATATTCATAAACAAAGTCAGTTTCATAAATAAAGTCAGTTGGTAAAGGTAAGCACAGTGAGTGATTCAAAAGTAGGTGAACACCCACCGATAAAAACCAAATATTCCGCCGGGATATTGGCAATTCGCTTAACAAACTTAACACGCTCCGCCAGGGATTGTTTCTGGTGAACTCCTCGTGTGACAAGCAAGGATAAACCGAGTCGGGTCTTGAGTGCGCGAGAAATCGTGGACCTGGAAATGTCAAGGCCGGTGATCTGAAGGAGGCGACTTTGAATCTCATCGAGGTATAAAGAAGGCTCATGGGTAATTATGTCTTTCAAGAGCAAGAGGTGATCGTCAGATAGAGCGTGTGGTTGGCCTCGTGCTCCGTATGTGGCTGGATCTGCGATAACTCGATTGGTGCGGATAAATAAAGCCTTCCATCTTGCAAATGAATTGTACGAGATCTTGGATCCAAGAGTTTGGTTGATGTGGGCATGACTGTGGCCTTTGATAGCCATTCGGATGGCTACAGACTTGAGGTCCTCAGAATAATGTCGAAACGGCATGATTGGACGGTTAGCGATTGTGAAAACGGGCAGAGAAACGGCGGATGGATGGCTGGGAGAATAAGCCAGAGCCATCAAAAGGGGGGGGGGTCGCCAAAAGAGCCGTGGCCATCGTGGTGGTCCAGAGCTGTCAAAAGAAGGATGAGTGAACCACGAACTAGAATCCTTTGACACACCTCCTCTGTGCACTAATGCTCAGCACGGACCCCGACCTCGACTCGACCTCGACTCGAACTGACACCTCCTCTCTCCAAACGTCACCCTACAGCTCCGCGCACGGACCTGTGCTTCCAGTCGAGTTTTTCATTTTTTCCAACCATTCTAGGATCGACTGTATTAGGACCTGGAAAGACCCTTGACGATTATTATGATGTTGATTCTGAATCTGATTCCGTGGAACAAGATGATGTTTCACCTACCAATGACACTTTGGTTTCAGATTGACAGATTCCATAGTTTATCATTGTTGTGCTATCATATAATTAGTTATTATCTCTAAAGTTTTCACGTTACTCTGTCTTTTTATAAAATTTCATATAAACTTCAGACCTTATCCCCAATTCTTGACAAGCAATTGAGAGTAATTTAGATGACACGCTCATGATCAACCCCTTGTAATACCAATTCAATCAATCAAGAGTTGAACTTGCTGTACTATGATCTTAACAAACTACACAAATGGATCAAACTTGCCACTTTGAAAAACATTGTAAAACCCAGCATTCAAACCACTCAAACACATCAAATGATGTACAGTGGTGCATATTTCATGTTGAAAGCATATGTGCAAATACCAATTCATTGAACTAATTGAATTGAATTGATGAATTCCAAGAGATCCGTATGGAGGTCCAATGCACCACTCTTGTAACAACCTGATCAGGATTGGATTGCTTTGCTTGATCAAGAGAATTGAGGACTATACACTATTTCCTATTGGATACGACACAAAGGAATGCAATCACTCAAAAGTCGAGTTGTATGCAACATATAGTCATTTCCTTATAAGAACCACCTAACAACAATCGGACGGTGTAATCTGATTATAATCACCTAACAACAATTGGACCGTGTAATCTGAATAATCACCTACCAACAATTGGATGTTGTATATGTGACTAAACAATCAACCATCACCGGTCTATCTCTCATGATGGCCTTGTTGCTGTGTTTCTAATGATAGTCACCACCAAACTTATGAAAGGCACGCAATAGAGCACATCTTTTACACAATATCAATTATTCATGCCTTGATATTACCGTTCGGAAATCACTCTGGCAACACTAACAAAGGCTGGAGGATATAATGATTCCATTGATTAACTATATCAGAAGTCCAACATGTTACACGATAGTTCAGATTGTGACTACAAAACCCACATAAATAAAGTGTGTTCTCCCATCGAGACTACCTACCTCCGCGCACTTTTTTATCTAAGACTCTTGATTCCTTTTTTTCGTATGATTCTCACATTCCCAACACTTTCTCTATTTTCGGTCTTCATTTAATCACCAAAAGCTGCCCATGTCATCCCAGGGACCTTCTTCAGGCAGGCGGGTCCTCCGGGGTCAACGTCGCAATATCACGAATACCGTTGCTCATCAAAATGAAAATGATTCCAGCACCAAAGCGGTCAAGCGCAAAAAGACCAGTGATCCAGAAACAGAGCCTGGTATGTTCAAGAGAAATATCATCTTTCAAAGTATCTGATCAATGGCTTATTGGGACTTGCTGATCTTTCTGTCAAGTCCAGTCTCTGAGAGAGATTCCCTTGAGAGGCTCGGATTTTCAGTCGAACCCAAGACAACCCGTGAAAGGGTTCTCAATCTTCTTGGCAAGCATGTCACCAAAAAGAGACCACGCCTTTCCAGCCAGTCGCTTCGATCTAGGAGGAAGTCAACAGTCAACTTACCTTCCGATGATCCAGTGCAAACCATTATCGTCCCTTCAACCAATCAACTCAACTATGAACAATTCAACACTCCCAGCTGATTGATATGCTGAAAGATGTTGGATTAGACACGAACGGATTTAGCAGAATTGAACTTCTGAAGAACTGTAACAGCTATCATGACTTGAGTAAGTATCATCTGGATACAATTTCGAAGTGCTCCAGTTACTGAAACCTTTTCCTTCATCCAGTTACGCCCCCTTTGGTGTCACAAAAACAGTTTGGTCAACCTCTCAACAACTCATTCGATTTCACACCTGCAACGCACAACTTACATCCTATCCAAGCGAGTAAGTTTCAACCCAAATTTTGTCTCATATTCTGTCATCCAAAATTGATCTCCTTCTATCCCCTTATTTTCAGCCCAATCAAATACACAGGCTACGCATATCTCAGCTACTATCACCCCTGAAGCTGGCTCTTCAGTTCCATTTATCCCGAGCAGGGAGCACAACCGACTTTTATACCCTCGACCACACCCTACCATACTCTCCTCTACTTCACCAGAACCAAAATCGAATCAGGACAAAGGAAAATCTAAAGCAAGAAGTCCCACACCTTCAATTTCTGACTGGCACCCCGACGATGACGGCACAGACCAATCCGATACTGAGGCTGATCACACTCATGTACATTCCCGCCGCCCCTCTCCTAGTGTGAAAGCTCGAAAAAGCGGCCCTTCTCCTACTAAGAACCCTGCGTCAGATATTCCACAAGCAAAGTAAGTCTCTTGCTCATATAACAAGGTTGGAAACACTTCAATGCTTACTTTTGACTATCCCACTTTTATCACTTTTGATTCCGTATATTCAAATTAGCTCCACTATGCCCGAGAGCAGAACACCAGATATCGAGAACCTCCACTTACTTTTGATACGAACTAACCAAAAGGTCAAACACCTTGAAAGCGAATTCAAAGCATTGACTAAAGTTGTGCACAAGTTGAGTGCATTGCTTGGCAATAGTGATTCTACTCCGAGCCCCAGCAAAAGACGTGGAGGACGTACTGCAGTAAGTTTTTTGTTCATACATCACAAATGTCGAATCACATGACCAATGTCTAATTTTTCACATGTTTGATTATGTAGGATCGCATCAGATTTCATGTTGACACACTGCTAGGCATCAAAGAAGGCTCAAAGCTGCCCGATCCGACAGACGATACAACGAATGTACCAGAAGACCCTTCCACATCAGGAACTCGCGACGAAACTGATCCTTGCTTCCCTTATGAGAACGGACCCGGTCATAAGGATGCAACACCTCAACAGCTTCAAATCATGAAGAACATGCTGGAAGCTTCAGGTCTATCAAGCTTTCGTCCAGATTTCTCGAAGTCAGAAGCATCGAAGGAAAATAAGTTGATTTGGAATATTGGTTTACAAATATTCTATAAGTTGGTAGAGTGTGGGGAGTATAATGGAGTGGCTATCGGTGGAGTAAATGATGCTCACATAACAAAATGTTTGAAGACCTATGCTCGATCACTGTCAAAGCGGTATGTGAAGTGTTACAATCAATGTTTCATCGACGTCCCTCTTTGAACTGCAAATCAGAAGCTGATCAATTATTCTCAACGCTTTACTTTGATCAATCATAGATATCGATTGCAATCATGGCAACCAGAACGTCTGGAAAAATCTCAAAGCAGAGTCCGACAACGTGGTAGACTTCAAAAAGTCAGGCTTATTTCTTACCTAGGCATCACATGGATTACTTTGCCAAAGTCACTGATTGAGTTTTGCTTACGGTTTGAAATTCAGTTGAAGACAATGAGAGACAAAGCGGTCTTCTCAAAACCAAGTGAGCTGTTCAAGCTTTCAGCAATATTGGAAAATGCTTGCAGCGATGATGAGACCGACCTTGAAGGAACCAGCGAAGGGCCAAATCGACATGGTATACCTTGCTTGGTACGAAAGCTTGAATGGCGTAGCGAAAAGTTAGGTCACGTTTGTGTTCTGCTAGATGGGTACATGGAGCAAAGGAAGGCTAGCATACCCAATTCAGTGGGAAAGAAGACTGGTCGCCCCTCTCGACCCAGAATCCGGCAAACAAATGCACCTCTCAGCTCACTACCAGCACCATCTGGGTTACCCATCGACTGTTACTCCTCCGAGTGGCTTCAACACGTGCAATCTGAAGACTTGCTATCTTATGGTCAGCTAGATATTGATCCAGTCCCGGTTTTGGACGAGATTGTCCTGGTTTTGGAAGGACTATAAGTTTTTTTTGAAAAAAATATCAGAATTTTTCCTTTTGAATATTGTTTTTCTTGCCTCAATGACACTGGCTGTCAACGTGTTTGACACATTGTATCCTTTCTTCATCACTCACTCATACATGTACTTGGAATTGAATGTGTAATGCTGGTCATTTCCACTATTCGGGCCTGCATATTCAACATGAAACCATCATTCTGGAAGTGTCATGAAGATCGACATTGAAAGACAAACGCATATGCCAACCAGCGCGACTTCAGATGAGTTAAAACAACTGCTTCTTTAGGAGTATATATGAGTTAAGTTTGTGATGTACGTGAGAAAATACTTGAAGCAGCTCAGATACGAGATGAAATGGAATACCTTTTGTGGGTTTTTGCTGTTTGATACAAGTGGAACTTTCATGTGGCTACTGATTTATCCAACATAGAATCATATTGATGTCCAAGAGAAGAATATTTTCATTCAGATTCAGAAGTTTCATGACCTTAATGAGTTATTGGGACAAACTTCAATAAATAGGTTCCAAGTGAGTCTTATAACCCCCAGATATTTAGACAACATACTGTTATGTCATATGTGACTTTTGTTCCAGGAAAAAATAGAACTTTGGAATCTCATCTTGTTTTTCTAATCACAAGAGTTCAGAAAATGATCAGGGTTTTCTAAATCCAAAGACTTTAGTAAACTCCATGGTATATTAGTCATATGGCGTAGTGACAGTGTCCACTTCTTTGAACCATTGAATGTTTCATACCTCATCATGAAAAAGTTAGGAAGGCCAATCCGTCAAAGTGTAGCCGCTAGGTCTAAAAAACCTTCAATTGACTGACATTTCCCTAAAAATGACTTGGCTGGTCCTAGATGCATGCTTCGGTATCACATTTAGATATACTGACGATCACAAGTAACGTCGAGGTAATGAAGAAAGTTGTGATACTCATCTGATCCTAGACGCATGCTTTGGTATTACATTGAGATATACCGACGATCACAAGTAACGTCGAGGTAATGAAGAAAGTTATGATGCTCATGATATCCTGTGAAGAGATGCGTAAATAAAACCTTAGGCTTTGGCAGACTCGTTCAACAACTCTTCGATTTCTTTCTCCAAGGCTTCAGGTTTGGTCGTACTACAGGCAAACACATATAGATGAGTTTGATATAGCCAAAATGGTAATAGGGCTGAGTTTAACAAACACTCACGAAGCATGACGATATCGAACGTGTCCGTTACGATCCACCAAGAATTTCTATAAACAAAGACGAATGAATCAGATCATGAGGAAAATCAAGAATACTGAATATAAAGCGCGGGTATGCTACCTCGAAATTCCATTTGATACGAGTAAGACCAAGCTGATATCAGAAAAGTACAAATAAGCCATCAGGACCTCGTTTTCACTTTCCGATCAATCTATTAAAAACCGGTTATTTTCTCGCAAAACTTACCAAACCAGACTTTTCTTCCTTCAAGAACTTATAAACTTCACTTGCCGTATCACCATTAACATCACACTTTTTCATAATAGGGAAAGTAACACCATAACTAACAGAGAAGAGTTCAAAGTTGGATTGAAGTGATCTAAGATGAATCGAAAGAGTTAAAGAAGATGAAAAAGATACTCACTTTAATTTACAAAAACTTGCGACTTCTGCATCGGTTCCTGGTTCTTGTTGACCAAAGTTGTTACTAGGAAATGCAATGATTAAGAAATCTTTTTCTTTATATTTTTGCCAAATCCTGTTGAAATATTAAACGTGTAAGTCAAGTGTGGTAATATGTGATCACCAAAAAATGTGGGTTGGATGACTTACTTTTCTAATCCTTCGTACTGATATGATACGAGTGTTTTGGAGATCGCGTTTGCGTGATCGGAAACGGAAAAGAGCAATACAGAAATCAGTGACTCTCAAATAGCGGGATCACGATTCGTCATTGGGAAGTCCGATCACTGGTTACAGTAAGTCAGGGGTTTTCAAGGATCACAGTACTTTGATTTACGGACCTGTGGAGTAAAACCACATTTGCTAGCTACATTCACGATCAACAAAACTTTATTCTTTGTATCCGAAAACTTGAATTCAGAGCCGTTTGGCATAGGAGCAGAGAGGTTATAGAGTGGTGATGAAGTCATATTGGATTGTGGCTGCTTTTTGGGAGACGACCAAAAGTTGAAGAAGCTGCGAGTTTGGTTGACTGAGCGATTGAGGTGGTCAGAGTCAGAAGGATTATAGGATGATGTATGCGGAGATGGTGAACTTACTGTTGGTATTAGTAAGGTGGATGGAACGGGTTAATATTCTTGATGATTGACCTAGAATTGAGGTCGACATAAAGACACACCAGAAGCAGACCAGCTTGACCAGACTGATGAGGCTGTGTCAAGTTGAAACTTAGAACCAGTTTTGATCGAATTTCAACCTTCAGGGGTTTCGAATTAACTCGACTAAGTCCCTCGCTGCTTCTCGTACGCTTCAAGCGCAGCGAGAGACCTATGACAATGGAAGTGTACTTCTTGACCTGTGAGGAGAATGACTTTTTGCAGGTGAAATCTGGCTTCCTCTTTTTCTCCATTGGTGAATTTTTGGTGAGGGAAAGAAGTTTTTTCTTCGCCTCTATGAGACGCATCGATAATACTCATTGAAAGAAATGAGGATAAACACTCCACAACATCCGAAATCCTGAACTTCAGTGACACCCTAGAAGAGAATTCCTCGGTTCCTCGGGATTTTTTTTTGATTGATCTGTGCATCTTCAAGAGGCAAACGGAACATTTCTTGGGTCCACAAAAATCCACGCATAGGGCGCAAAGATTTGAAGGGCAGCAATCTTCTCATCGTTGTTGGTAACACGTTATTAACATAGTGGAATGGGAAAGTTGGATGATTTTACATGTAAACATATACTGACGGGTCGGACTTCTCCTGACCTTATCTCTCGATTCATCAGCTATGACATCATAGCTGTTGACCACCATCATCCTCAACTTTCCCATAGCAGTTACTATCGTCAACAAATTTCATTAAACTCAAGAATTTCTCTCTATCTTTCCAGTTATAAATTTTTTCAACCCTCCCTCCTTCTCCCTATCTAAGGCTGTTGAAAGGAAAGTGTCATGTTTTATTCCTAGGTAATTATATTTAACTTTAGTTCTATATCTTTTATTTTTCAAGTATTAGTTATCTCAGTTTCTTTTTTATTAAATATTTTAGTCTATTTTTTATGTGTTCCTTTTTTCTTTCTTTTTTTTTTTTTTTTTTCTCTAAAAAAATGATTATTACTCATTTATTTCATTCTTGTTGGTTATGAGTCCTTATCATATATAGTAGTTATAGTTGTCATTTTTCTTATATTTTATGTATGGGCCTAGCCACCCCGTAGGGCGTGTTTCATCATTTGTTCAAGTAATTTTATATACCCGGGGCTTACGCCTTGGGATTCGCACCAAACACGGGTATTGCCTTTGGCAATATTTCTTATTTATAGTAGTGAGTTTGACGGTCCCATTTCAGCAATTTCATTCCCTTCACAGGCCAAAACATGGTTGGCTGTCATAAGTACCCATAAGAGCCCATAAGTCCCTCTTTGCGAGATATGCTCGCTGCGCTACAAGGGGAGCATCGGAGAATCGGGGGAAATTTTCTGATACTCTGATACTGATAAAACTCTGATACTCTGATACAATACAGGTGTCCTGTACACACATCCATACCTAAGTCGAACAAAATGAAATAAACTCATACACAAGTCAGAAACCAAAACCACCTGGCCACTGTACGCTGGATGTCAGAGATGTCACAGGCTCAGCAAGACCCTGAAGTCCCCGTGTTTCATCCAAAATTTTCTTTGCTCGCACTTTTTTCTTTTTCTTTGTTTGCACCCACAATCACAATATATATAATGACAGCGGCTCAGCAAAGACAGAATCCACCTCACGCCTACTTCCACATCGGAGCCCAAACGAAGGAACAAATCTCGCAACAACCAGATTTCACCTCCAGCACACCTGAACCACTTACTACCCTCCATGGTAGTTCCCACTCTTATTGGCGAGCGGTATCAGTTAGCCAACCCCACTAGGATCCCACCGCTACCCTTGCCCTTACTGAAAGGACCTGTTGGGCTCCTGTGTCCAGAGTGTTCTATTCCAATGATTTACAAGACAGCACTTACAGATTCCTGGCGCATTGCGGTAAGTCCTGTAATATTTTCTGTCTCCTTTTGCATCAATCTTACATTATATCTTCGTGTTCCCTAGTGCCCAAGTCAAAATTACAAAAATGATCATAACTGGCGAACTTGGCGGTGCGATCAGCTTAATCATGAGATCGCTCTTATCAACCTTGGCGTTGCTCGGCCAATCATCTCGTTTGAATCCGACTGGGGCCCACGAGTTTCCCCAGATGGCCAAGTCCTCGAGATCCGCCCAACGCCAACACCTGGGATTCATCATCATCCCTTCCTAGGCCGCCTGGAACAGTCAGCTGGAATGCCACCTACCAATACGACCGATTCAAACAGCACACAGTCCTCCCGGCCCCCAACAACCCTCCAATGTAAAAGGATCAATGAAGGTCAGGTATCCCAAAACCATAAGATGGCGGCCAACAAAGAGTGCCCACATCAATACTGCCGTGGTGTACATATTATTTCGGCTGTATTATTTTGTATTTGTGGTTTACAACATACTGACTTATGTTGTTTGAAGTGCTGCATTGCATATGGGTCAGGAATTTGCCGCAAACACCCTCGTGCTTCTGGTTCGGGCAATGTCACGGCTCAGCACACGAACAATCTGGGGTTGATCGATAGAAGCAATGCCTTGCTTGACGTTGGAAGCTCGCGCACCAAGGCCTCAGCTTCGGCTCCTCATCAGTGGGCTCAATCGGCCAACTCACTTGGCCGTCGTGTCCCCAAAGATTTCTTGGCTGTGATCCAAAAGAATCGGATTGAACGAGAAGCTGCTGCTGCACAGAAGAATTCCTCCTTCATCGACGAGACAAAGCTTGTGACTGTGCAATTGTGGCTCAATGTATGTATTTTCTTCTATTTTGTTTCCACACTCACAACCAACTCATTGATGATTTTCACAACACAGGATGTTGAACCAAAGGTCATCACTGCGTTGTTTCCAAATTGGCCACAAGCACGTCTGGATGAAAGTGAACTCTTGATGCAAGCTGTTTTGGATGTACTTGGTCAACAGTGGAACCAAGCGTTGAGTTTTTGGGACAAGAAAATCAGTGCTTGGGTGAGTGGTTTATTTATACCATATTATTGTGTCAATTTCTCAACAGGGCGCTGTTTACGTTGGTAGCATGACACCCTTGTGAGTTACCCTCAAAGATTCCGACATGGCCAACGTACCATTATTGCTCGTCTGCAGACCGTGACCGTGCCAGCGACTGTGATGAATAATCACAAGGAATCCAAAAAGTCCTTCCCGAACAACCCACCTCCTTCAGCTTTTCTATCTAAGTCGGAGCTCCCCGCGGTATGCAACATGCCCTCATCACCGCACTTTTCCCCCGACCGGTCCCAGGTGGCTTCCACCAGTAAGTCTTCTAGAACACCGGAAATCGAAATAGCAAGCCACAGAATTCGCAAGCGTTCTTCAGTTATTGTTGTTGAAGATGACGACGAAAGATCACCTACACCAATCACCAAACGCCGACGTCTCTCATCTCTTCCTCCAACAAATTCGATTGTGGATTTCTTGACTTCACTCAATGGTGTTGGTCCAAGTTCTTTGGAAGCCAGTGCCAAAGTGGGCGAGGTGGAAAGGCAGAAAGATACCAGGTAAGTGCACTTTTTGGTGTTCTATTAGTCATTCAAGGGGTAACCCCAACTGACCCGTGTGTTTTTGAAAGTTTGAAAGCCGGTTTGACAACAGCATCAAGTCGCTCTAATACATCAGCATCTGTCGCATCTGTCGCCAAAGTCCCCAAGCTCAAAACTGGCTGGCCATCCCCTGTTCTTGTTTCCAGCCTGCTTGCCTGGTGGCAGGAAACCACACCACATAATGTCAAGAGGAAATGGTTGGAACACTTTGGCGAAGAATGGGAGTTAGTTCTCCCAACCATGTATAGATATCGCCAATTTGTGGGCATGGTTGGACACGAAACCATGCTAGATAAGTACCGTACTCAACCAAATGCCATAGTAGCTGACGCTCGTGACTTCTACCTGGACATCTTCAACAAAGTGGCATGTGTTGTCAAGGGCAAGAAGGAAACCGGTGTCTTGAACAAATAGTCTTATTTACTGTTGAACATCTGCTATTTGTCTGTTTTATCTTGTCTGTCCCTACAAACTTTTACACAGTTTCAAATGACATGATTTAAATTCTTTCAAGATGATCAATGACTTTCACTTTTTTGCTTGGCCTCTCAAACTTCTTGAATCAAACTTATTGAAATATGTTGGTTTAGTTCCCATTTGTGTGTTTTATGTCTTTGTTTAAGTCTCATATGTTAGTGGTAATGAAGAGTAATTTTGATTTGTGAACCAAACAAAGTTCAAAGAATCACAATTTTTTCAATTCCCAATACGTCTTCCCCATGTTATTTTATTGCTCAATGTTAATACAATAACATTGAGCAAGTTTTTACTCTATTTTACATCTTCCCCATGTTGTTTTATTGCTACGCAATAAAACAACATTGAGCCAGGTTTTATTCCACTTGCTAAATAAATCCTTAATTCCAAAAGATATACGGTTGTGATTTAAAAAACTGTTCTCATTATTGGGAGGTGTCAAACTCATTCCCCAATTTGATGACTTACTTTTTTTGTCTGTTTTATTCCTCTTGATAAACTGTTTCTCTTTCAACGGCTGTTATTGACCAGGCGCAGAAACGAATATGTATTTCAGTCAGTTTGCGATATATAGGGAAACATACCTGATTTGAACTCTGTTATGGAGTTGATTGTTTGTTTTTGTTGAACAATGGTTACATTGGTTACCGTTTAGAAAATCACAGGTTTATTGCTATCGGCTCACTGCCATCCAACAAACACTGCGATGATTTTAAAAGGAAGTTTTAAGATTATAAAATCACAGGTTTATTGCCATCGGCTCACTGCCATCCAACAAACACTGTGATGATTTTAAAAGTAAGTTATCGATTTGAAAATTGCAGGTTTATTGCTATCGGCTCACAGCCATCCAACAAAAACTGTGATTATTCCTTTGTTGAACGTTGGTTTATTGTGGGTTGCCTTTGAACAAATAAAGTGACCAATTCATGGGCAGTCGAAGTCGTTTTTCGTTTTTGAGTTTTCTAAGTTATCCTTCATAATATATATAGTAAGATTAATCATATTGGGAAATCGATGGAGGATAGATATTTTCCTACAAGCAGTGACTTATTTGACCGTTTTATATTCCAAATTACTGTGCTTTTGAAGTAAGACTTTGGTCATTCCAGAACTCATAGTTCCTTTTGAATAATCGTCTTTTACTTTTGAATAATCGTGTTTGACTTTTGAATAATCGTGTTTGACTTTTGAAAAATCCTCTTTGTCATTCCAGAACTCATAGTTCCTTTTGAATAATCGTCTTTTACTTTTGAATAATTGTGTTTGACTTTTGAATAATGGTGTTTGACTTTTGAAAAATCCTCTTTTACTTTTTCATCCTTTTGTAGAACGCAAGGAAAAGCCATAGGACTTTTCCTGGCGTTCTCTCTCTTGCTGACTCTTTATCAAAGCACCCACATTGTGTAAGAATCACACTTCATTATGACTGTTCAAAATTCTTTCTAATCATATATATTCTTTCATCGATCATTCATGCTTTCAACACATTTCATTTTTGTTTTTGGTTCAAGTAAACCAACCCAAAAAATTTGAAATCCTTGTGTTTGATTGGGTAATAAATTTTCAAAAAGAAAAAACAGTCCCCAACCGTTGACACCAAACACTTCAATTTTTATTATTATAACTGTATACTATTCATATCAAATTCATTTTACAAAGTGATTTTTCCTTAATGGAAAACTAACCAATTCAGGCAGGTTCATAACACATGAGAGTATCACACATCACAACATTATGTTGGTTCAGCGCGTAATGAGGATGGCAAAAGAGACTGGTCCAGTTCTGAACTGGTACTGGTTGGTTCTTTCCTTTCTGGACACGCTGAAATGCTCCAGGAAATAAATGAACCCCCTTTCCTTATCAAAGTAAAAATTTATTTCCACAATCCTTTTTGCACTATTCCCTCCATTCTCGCTTATTCTTACTCATTGATTATCACTTGGTGGAATACTCGGTACTACTGCTCAAAAATGCCGATGGAACTTCGATTCCAACCTAAGCTTCCTTTAAGATTCAGCTCTATATTTTGGACCAAGCATGAAGTAAGCAACCAAAATGTTGTCAAAAAGATGAGCAAAGAACTGATATCATTTGATTAGATTACAACCACCGAAACAGATACATTTCAATACTTTGATACTGATGTGTTTATCAATCAGGATGGTCTCCATGCAATAAGCTTGAACATTGCTGCCAGTCGTGAGGAGAGCGAAATCAAAAGTTACCACGCTTACCGGATTGATGGACGAGTGGGGACCTGGGGTAGTGATCACAGGCCTATACTCATGGAGGACACTTCAAACACAATTGTGATTGACCACGCCAAAGTCCGCCCAAATTGCATGATTAACAAAGTATGCGCACAAGGTCTAGGTCAAATAGTAGAACAGTCAATCAGGCGCACCTCTGGAATCCCCATTAAAGCCATTAAGGTCCTACATCAAGGCTGGAATTCTACGGTGTGCAATAAATACCTAATCTCAGGGCTCCTATATGATACTGATCTGTGCCATGCGTTACAGCATTCTCAGAGTGTTGATTTCCATGTGAACTACTTGCTGGACCCTCACTACACCACCTCATCACTGAAAGAAAATGCGCTGGCTGCAGGAAACCTCATCAGTCTGCGTGGAAATGTAGTGTCAATTGGGATGGACAACACATGGGAGATACAAGTGAGATACTCCCTTGGTGAGGATGCAATGTTCCGGCACAGTGACTGACTCCAATTTAACAGGCTACAGAAATACAACTGATCCATTGCAAAGCCATTTCACCGAGGAGAAGCAGAAGACTACGAGGACTGGATCCGATTGACCCTTAGAATGATTTTGACAGTCTTTAGTCTTGATTATAAACATGGCTGTAATCTTGATGGTTTCATTGTACATAATGCTGTAAATATCTTGTGACATATAAGTTAATTCATCAAGTAATATAGTGTAATGCCTTAGCTGTGATTCATTCCCTCGTGTTACCATTGAGCATTCATAAATGATAATTTATCCTGTTATATAGTGTATTTGACTTTGTTATGCCTTATGCCTTATCCGTGAATCATTCGTTCGCGTTACCATCACTTGTGTCATAAAAGGAATGCACAACATTATGTCAGAGCGAAAGAATCACATGCATTGACTCCTTGGTGCAAGAAAAATGTTGATTTGCACTGCACCACGATGAACCAAAGGGGGAAGACAAACAAACGGATCTCAACCTCAATCATTATCTACCTGGAATCTTCCCGATAATCCAGTTGTCTTTCAATCTCAACACTAGTCAACATATGTCATCTAACGCACCTCCAAGACCTATTCAGTTTTGTAGTCCTATTGATGAAGAAAGGAAAGGAGGATTGATTTGATTGATGGTTTGATTGACGCATTAGGTATTATACACTATCATGATATGGCTTGTAAGTCAGGTATGTCATCAGTCCATGGATCTCCTTCAGTATATATCTGTTGATATTCTGAGAGTTCTTGATATTGGATTCTGGTTTGTTTCCAGTTTAATGATGGTACAATCCAGTTAGATCTTCAATAGCAAAAGATATCAAGGACCATCTCCCTTATCAATTTCCAAAAGGAATTTCCAATCTATAGTCCGTTTTTCCACAGGGTAGGTAACACTGTTGCATTCTCCATTCGACCCACCAAAGAATTTACTATGGCTTTCATGTTTATTGTTGGTCCGATTTTACAAACCATTGTATCAATATCAAACAAAATGATCCCTGAGCCATGATCTTGCACTTCTATTTACTTTATTATTTGTTTCCACATATAAAGTAAGAAAGGGTTGACGGTGTAAACCATGCGTCTTTTTGCACTTTCCATAAGTACTAGTGAAAAGCGAAACTATCTGCTGGTACTATTTTATCTGATTACATATTATCAAAGCACCAGTGGTGAATGCGAACTTCAAAACAAATCAAGTGTCTAGTTGTGGAAACAAAAACTGACATCTTGCACTTTTAACAATATGTAGCTAAAAGATTAGTTTGCTTATCACAAGGTTGCTGCTCACCCGTTTGTTTCGCCAAGGGCCTATGCGAGCTTCAAATGTGTAAAACCAACAGTCTTATTGTGTACGAAAGGATGTGTCCTCTCGCACTTCCTTTCAAAACAGTGTGAACTTTTCTTATGAAAAGAACTTATCTGGTGTGATCTTCTCTATGCAATAAGAGCACATATTGAAAGTCTTTAAGCGAGCTTGGAATGTGTCAAATAAATCAAGTGCTTTGGTTAAAAGAAAACTGTGTGTGAAGTTTGCTTTCCTTATGAAAAGCAAACCACATCGGCGCTTTTGAATTGGTAAGCGAGCTTCAAAGCAAAAGCCACTGTGTGTGAAGTTTGCTTTCCTTATGAAAAGCAAACCACATCGGCGCTTTTGAATTGGTAGGCGAGCTTCAAAGCAAAAGCCTAGTGCGCTGTTGTTTAGAGAACAAATCGTCCGTTCGCACTTTCGCACTTTCAATACTATGTGAAGTGTGTTTATAAAAAGCAAACTTATCTGCTGGCGCATCTATATTTGATATGATGATTAGGCATTATGAAGGATTTTATGATGGCTTTCAAATGTGTCAATTCAAGTGTCTTGTTTTGTATAAACGAAATCAAAGAGTCCATTTTGTTGTGGTAAATTTGTATTTACAAGCGATCACATCCTATAATGCAATTCCATATAATGCAATAGTAATAACAGGCAGGCGAAATGCCATTTATTTCAACATGAAGCAATGCATTCTTTTGTTGAGGCGTTTGATGAGCACTTTGGCATTGACTTTCACTTTTGCATTCTTTATTTCCGCATCAATTACACAGAAAATGCAGTGGTTTTGACTATTGGTGAATTATTCTTTAACTTTTAACTTGAAAGCACTGTTGCTTTTGAGTTCATGTTTTCTGTCAGTCAATGTAATGTGCGTTCGATGGGATATAAAAGACCCTCTTTGGCATCCAAAAATGGCTTTGTTTTCTCACCCTTGTATCTTGTATAACAGTCACCAAAAACCAATCTCACCTAATAATCATCCTTCCAATCTCACCTTATTAACAGTCGTTTATTTTCATTCTGACAGTGGGCCAACACCAACTTCCAATATCCGAATCTCTCTCCTCCCCAATATTTGACTGTCTCTCAATGTTTATTCCAACTTACTCACCTCCAGTTGCCGTTTGTTGAAATCGCAGTGTGCCAACATAATAAACCAACTTACCCCAGTTGCCGTTTGTTAAAGGGCAGTGTGCCAATACAATGAACCAACTTACTCCCAAGCAGTTGACGTTTGTTAAAAGGGCAGTGTGCCAATATAATGAACCAACTTTCTGTCTGTAAATATTGAATTAAACACAGTGAACCTTTGTGGGAAGGAAGTGTTCCCAAAAAAATGCACGCACTGTTATTCTTATACTTGAATGATTTATTTAACTTAAATTCTTCAAGCAATGTAACAGAAACTTAAGAATGGGACCACAACCAGATGGCGCAAACAAGGGTACAAATATATCCTCCGATATCATGGTTTGAGAATATGAAGAATGGTGATTGAGAACCCATGGATATATCAAAACTCTCAACCAAAAGTACGTTTTTCTTTTTTCCTTAGACATCTCTAAGATCAACAAAAACTCAATTGAGAGGTTCAATTCAATCTGATTTCACAGAAGATGTTAAATATTTTTATTGATACCATTCAGGACCCAAGATCTAATGATGGTCTAGCCAAATAAATCGTGAACCTCTAAATAGCGAAATCAAAAGCGGAGTTCAATTACAAAATTGAAAATTTTGCACTACCACATTCCTTCTCCCAGGTACTCCATTCCTTTTCTTCTTGCCAGTTTTTTAGTCAGCCAACCATTTCGCAAATCAACCATTTCTTCTAAGAAGAAATTGTATAAAAGTGAATGCATGTTCCGGCACATGGAGGCAAAACCACCGTACCAGATGTTTGTCAATTCACCTGCAGACGCATTGAAAACCCATTGGCCGTTCTCTTGAATATCGGGGAATAGATGTGGATCGGTGAAGCGCTTGCAGAACTGGTCTGATTCTGCGTGGGAGCGGTGGTGGAATGGATCCACAGGTATGACTGAGCCAAGGAAAGCTGTTGAATCAGAATGACCAGTGTAAATATGCTCCGTCAACCTGCATGCATTATCATAAAATACCACCTCAGGAATTCCTCGAGGGAAGCTTTCTTCAATGAAATTCTGTAGAAGTGTGATTGGTTCAGATAATATCATCACGGAAAGGAGGGGAGGTGATCACTCACCTTAACAGCGCTGACTGATTCAGCATGGTAGAAAGTTTGCCGAGCAAGCACAATTCCGCAGGTCCCAACAATCAACTGATCATTATGTGTGCGACTTCTGGATAATAGATATTTTCCAGCTGCTTGCGACTGGCCTCCATCGCGGGCACCCTCGTGTGCTCTTTGCGACTCATCAGCTTGGCGTAAATTCTCCAGGTCATCAAACAGGGCGGTATCAGCATTCAGATGGACTGTAGGGTCGATGGGGAGATTGGAGCCCGGGCGGTTGAGAATCGATGTGAGTGAGAAATTGGATTTGATCTGTTTGTTGAAACTGGCCCAAACCTCCATGTGGTCAATGTTATCGCATGTCTCGCTGTTGGGAGCTGAGGGGAGTTTGCACGGCTGAGCTCGACATCGTCTACCAAGAATTTCGAAATGATCTTGGCAGAAGCGATCATTGATGTTAGACAGGTGATTTGTACAAGGTCCTTCTGGAGGAGGCTGACCCAGGCTGACAGCAATATCTTTTAGTTGTTCGGAGGTCGCGCTACATTGCCAGTGTCCTATGGTTAGACCGTCGGTGACCACCGCGCGAATTGCTGGAAATCCGGTAGGTAAGCAAAGTTCAGACATCAGACAGGGGCCAAATTAGACTGATGTATGGCAGGAAGCACCGCCAAGAAATTCACGAAGGTCTCGCCAGTTCCGGGATCCACATCTTCTTTGATTCGGACACAGGTTGAACAGTAGTGATCACGGTACCTTGTGCCTTCAAGCGACAACCACATCAAATGATCTTTGATTGTGTCGTCAAATCGAAGATCGTCAGAGCCGCTTGCACTGACAATGAGCTGAACTCCTCTTTGGTCGGTGTGAAGAATCAGGCGATGTAGAATCAGGCCGTCAGTACAGACTGCCTCCGACATGGAAGGTGTATAATTTTGGCCAGGGGTGAATGGTGTGATGGGGATGTCGTCTACAAAAACCTCCTTATACCAATTAACTAGATTGAAATGAGATACACTGACGAGTCACACATCAAATCAACATCAGTCAACCCCTTGTAGTGAAGCCAATTTGAAAAACTCACTGCGCTAACATCTGGATTGACCTAAACATGTGTGCCAAACGCCGAGTCATGTAATAGTGACAGTGGATGTGGAGATATTCCAGGTCTCTGCCCAATTCCCTTGTGTAATAATATTGTATGCTATCTCGAGTGTAATAGCTGGGTCTATAAACGGTGCCGCATTTCCAATCTGTTATTGGAATTGGGGACGTCTGTCAGCGTCGGTGATGCAGTTTGGGAGTGTGAAGTAATTTATCTTACTTGAACAACTTAGAACTACTGTCTGGACCGTGTGCACACCGTCAAAGTCGTATAGATATCCATGGATACGTGAGTGAACATGTAAGGGGTATGAATGGTCATCTGTGCATAGTATACATTTTGAGATAGGTGCACGTAAATAACGTTCCGGTAATTTTGGTGACTCTTGGAGTCCAAACTTGACAATGGTAGCGTCGGCATCGATTCTGCACGCGGACAATATTGGGAAGGACAGGCGCCATAAATCGTTTAGTAGGTTGATTGGGTGTTCGAGGTATAGAGCGGATTGAAGGAAAGGTAGGACAGGGTTTCGGTTTGGTGTGAGACGTAATGATTCACCCGCTCGGTGTTGAACTTCGGCTGCAAGGCAGGCAAACCTGACAAACTCAGAGACGGTGAGGGTTGCAAAAAGATGAGGTGATTGGCTGGATAATTGGATCACAAAATCACGCAGGAGCATGTTGGCGGAATGATCAGGGATGCTGGTGTTGGTAATAATGCTCCCGGTGGTGTGGTGAGTGGATGAGAGCGAGGTGATATGTACAATGTGATATGGATGTCACTGGCTGGGACACTAGTGGTCAGAAGGTTTTGTCTGACTAGCAGTAAGTATCTAGGTGGGTAACGGTATGTAAATGTGCGAAGTATGTCACGAGTCTGGGTCTCGGGTTAAAGCCATGTTTCATGGGTTAGACAAGGTTTATCAGGCTTTATCAGAGTATCAGGCGCGCATCCCCCAATTCTCCAGTTTACCGAGTTTACCGGCTACAAGCGTGTGAGAAGCAGCGAGGGAGCACCGAAGAACCGGGGGATTTTTCCTGATAAGCTGATAATGATAATATCACTGATAATGTGATAATACAGCCCCCCCATATTAACATACTTTAAGCATATTTACACGTTACATACACGTAAGGTAGCATAATGGACAAAAAGATGTATTTGGCCAGAAACCACCCTGACCGCGCCTTTCACAGGATCTCCCATTACCCCTCGTTTCATGCAAAAAAAATTTCGCGTCCCCTGTTTCATCCACAAACATTCTACTTGCAAAAAATTTAAGCCTACATCGTAACATGGCATCCTTCCTGTTTGCCGCACATATACGCACCTCAGAAAGCCTTTCATTCTTCGGAACGACTCACGAACTTCGACATCCCATCCTCAACTCTTAATCAGGATGGTGGTTGCCACGCTTATCCACGAAACCTACCGCATGGTCAACCCTGGAGCACCTCTCCCTATTCCCTCACGTCGAGGAGCGGTTGGTCTACACTGCCCAGTATGCGAGACCCCAATGATCTACAG